TTTTTTTTTTTTTTGACAAGATTATTTTCACAGGTCATTTTTCTTAGGTAAACAAGAGGTATGGTTATACTATTATAATAGAATGACTTATCATTTTTTAAGATTATTATATATATATTTTTTTTGAGATAATAGTTTTAAACTTTAAGATTAAAAAAAAAATTGCGAAAAAATAGTTAAGTTACATTCCTTGATCAAAAGTGTAACTCAAAATAAATAACTTTTATAAATAGAAGAAAATACGTTTTTAACATTTCCGAAAAGAAATTCTAATTTTGAAATAAATAAAATATTTGTTTCCGTGAAAAAAGACTTAGAAAAATATTAATGATATTTATCAATCGCTCAGATAATAAAATATAGACTAATAGGCAAACATTTATTGTTCACTCTCCTATATTTACAGCTTCAGAACGGCCCTGAACTGAGTCGGTAATACTGACGGTATAAGTTGCATATAATCATATAATCACATCACTCTATTATGAATTTTTTAATAATTTTATGATAATATTATTTTGTAAACAATTTCATTAAATTTTATTAGTAGCACAATTTGCATGAAAGATGTGAGGATTTAACCCCCATAAACAACACATTCGTAGCCTCCACAAAAAATACACATCATGTTAAATTCATACTTTTTAGCTTTACATAGAATCTAAAAATGAAAAATTAAATTCAAAATGGTTTAATAAAAGTTAATAATTTTGTTGTGTAAAATATTTTTGAATAATTACAATCAGTCACATATTCAAGGAAAATCATGATGTATGCCTACAGAATTTTTTAAAATTACATTATATTTATGAGTCTTAACTAGATACTGTCAAGTTGACAGAATTAAGTAGATATGAAAACATTTTCTTTTAGACCAGCACCTCGAAATGAAACGTATAAAACGATTTGGCAACGTACCTGATTACAATCAGGAGTAATTGCTTAATGTTAGTTTTCCTTAACACTAAATAGTATATATTAATTAGAAATTTAGTCTTAGATACGTAAAAAGGATGATTCCACTCTAGAACAAAAAAATATTCCTGTGGCACTGTTCATCCTTATGATAAAATTTCACAGAGTTGGGAGTTTTAGAAGTAAGTTCAAACATTTTTTTATAAATTTCTAAATAAATAAAGTGCCGCATCCAGTTAATGAGTAAAAATGTATCCAATGTATTCTAAAATGTCTTACCACTATTGACTAATTAACGTTTGGGGGGTTGTCGCACCCCATGCACATCTTATGAAGTCGCTAGTAATCATAATCTCTACACAATTATTGAAATTGATTAAAAGAGTTGTTAGTGTTTAAATAAAAGCTAGTAGAATCAGTTCCACTATTTTGTTTATAAAATATACTAACATTTTGTAGCAAATGATTCTCATTTTATAGGTAAATGACTAGTGTACTAGTTCTGATCTCTAGTGGTAAAATATCTAACTAAGAATATCTCAATTGAAAACATTGGAAAATCAATATGCTTATCTGGAAAAAATTGTTTGTTATCAATTAATAATAGATACTATATCACTTAGTTAAGTAAAGTCGTAATTTAATTATTTTAGTTTTTAGTTTTATAAAACTAATGTATTATTTTAATTTTCAAAAATAATAATTAAATAAAAAAATTACATTATACAATTTTTTCTACTATTTCATTGTTCAAGTGGTTATAATCACGCACAATAAGTGATACAAACATGTATTGTCTACAATGGCTGATACCTGTGCTTCTAATACCAAAGCCATTAAATCCGGCTCTATTACAAACTCATGTTATGTTTATGGTGCTGTACCTTACTGGATTTTTTTTGGAACGAAAACCATGCACCATTTGTAGTATAGTGTTTTTAGTAGCTGTTTTTCTTATATGTTATAGTGGATATGGTAATTGTATATTCTACAGCAGCAATTGTGACTCTGTTCAGTGTGACAACGGCTAACAATGCAATCTAGAAGTATGACAGAATCATCATACTAAATATCATTTTTATTACTTTTCTGAAAATAATTCATTATTAGTTTTAGAAATTGTTTATTAAAATTTAATATTCTTCTGTAAATTTGCCAAATTTTTATCTTCCTATGTAAAATATGACTTAAATTTCTTTCCATAAATTGTTCTTTTCTTTGTTTGTACAAATTGAATTTTGGCAATTTTATATCACTATTCATCTAAGTATAGACATGTATATACAGTTTTAATAAAAACATTTTGTTTTGAATTGTTATTATTTTATATTAAAAAGAAATATTAATTGTATGATTGAAAATAATGTACTATCTAAGAATTATTTGAGTGGTCCTTTATCGTTACATTAATGATTTATTTTCAATATTGAAAGTTTATTAATAATGTTATTACGAATATTACCAATATTAGATGGTGAATATTTATTTCATCTGGTATTTAATAATTAAAAACTAAATGTTTTAACAATATTAGATTGTTTATTAAAATATAATTATTACCTGTAATTTAATCATAATATTAAAATATTTTCATTACAATTACATTTATATGAATTATTAAATTATCTCTAAAAATGTCAATCCCTTTTTTTTTATGAAAAAGTAATTTACATTAACAATTGACATGCCATTCTTACCTGATCAATATTATTCTGGATTAATGTACTGCATTAAATTTCAATCTCATAATTTTTCTTTTTTCAACATTTATTTAATAATTAGTCATTAATCTTGCATGAACTGGAAGTTTTTGTGTTACCTTTAAAATATAACAGGTGACCATAACAATTTTATCAGGGAGCAAAAAATTAAAAAAAAAAAGTATGGTAAATTTAATAGGCCGCTTTAGCACAATCAAAAAATATTTTTTGGGGAAATGACTAGTGCAAAAATTGAGGTAAATAATATTGATTAAACATTTTGATATCCATCACACATGATGGATATAATAAGTATCAATAGTAGACAGTCGACCATTTACATTTTCTATTTCATGTAAGAATAAAAATGATTATTTCTTTTTTTTAACAGTTGATTCAAACATCACCTATCTGTGCTAATTTATCTAATACATAAAAAATAACTAACAATGCATTAATTGGATTTAATAAATATTCATTGATTTATAAACTATGATTATAAATCATTTATATTATATATAAAAAATCTTTAAATAAGTGGGTTAATGACAAATTTCCTTTAGAGACATTTGAAATCTAAATATACACAGTATTACACCTAGAGATCCTACTCCTAAGTCTACAATACTTGTAGTTAAACTTGATAATTATAGAATAAAATAGTCAATTTAAGTTTATTAAATAGTGACTAAAAACTTATTGTTTGAATTAAACAGTTAGTACTTGCCTTAAATTAAAAAATTGTATTCTGAAGAAGTTTTTTGAAAAAGTAACTTGCACAGTTATGCACTATGCTTTTCATCTTTATATTATTTTATACTTATACAGAAGTACAATACTTGAAATAATCTATTGCATTTCGAAGTAATACTCGTAAATATTTTAAATTTAATAAAATTATTTATTTACTGTAGCGTACAAAGGATATTTTCAAAATTAGGACTAAAGACCTATTTTTATTTTTATTTATCGCATACTCCTACTTGTGCCAAAATCATACTGTTTATAGTATTCATTTTTCAATGGAGGCTGTAGCCCTTTTAGCCTCTTTGGATACGTTACTGATCATTTAATATTATTAATATTTAAAAGTTTCATGATTATTAAACAAATAAATATTCTCAAAAATAAATATTTTTATATAAATTACAAAAAATTTGTTTATAAAATTTTGGAGGACTAAGTCTGTCATGTCCTTCAATAAAAGACCATGAGAATAACTTTACAATAAAAATAAAAACTTGCATTTTTATTAATGTAATGGGAGTTTATTTCTATATCATTCACTATACCGTCGCTGATTATAATAAAATAATTATTTCTTGATAATTAAGATTCAATTAATAGTTTAACCCTTTCAGTTCCCATGTCCAATACAATGGACACAATTTTTACAATATACAGGGTGATTGACTAACTATGCCTCGCGAATTTTCTTTAAAAATATTAGTATTATCGTATATGTAATTATTTTATTTGTTATAAATCTTTGTTGAGCTACTTGACAAGAAAAATGAAGATTCAATCTTCATCCCTCAACCCTTAAATCAATATCAACTTTAGTTTTTCAAATAGCAACCCAGTTTTTTTTTTTATTAATCTTGTTAATAATAATAAAAAAAATTTTCTCAAAAAAAAAAAATCAATTTTAATAAATTCTAAGCGAGATATTACTATTTAAAGTTTAGGGGATTTAACAAATAAAACAGTAGTCGGGTAAATATAGTATCGTTATTATTTAGTGTACCGATAAGAAGTGGTAGCGCTTATCGATTTACGATCCATAACGTTCTCGTCTGTAATGATTTTTTCTTAATAAACCCTAAACTTTAGAGAGCCGTGGAGCGCTTAATATTTAATAAAATAAAATATTTTTTTTACAAAACATTTTTTTTTATTAAACTAAATCTAATGGTATAAAAAAAAATAGTGTTGCCATTTGAAAATATGAAGTTGACACTATTTTTAAGCAAAAGGGATGGTGGTAAAAATTTAAATTTTCTCGTGAAACAGCTCATCAAAGATCCATAATGATTAAAAAAAAAAAATTGTTTATAACTCTTATATTTTCAGAGATAATTCATGAGGCATAGTTAGTCAATCACCCTGTATTTATATAATAACGGATTATGATACGCATACAATTTTTCCATATTAAATAAAAAATGTGGTTTTCTACATAAAATTATCAAGCTTTATTCAATTAACATTATTTTGCATGTTTGATATGGAATAATGAATGAAAAAAAATTATAGTAGTTTTGAAATTAAATTGGTTTTAGAATGCATAAAATATGGTTAGTAGTAATAACAAAAATATGAAATGCTCTGTCTGTCATATCTAAATAACTACGAATTATAGTTGAATTTATCATTATTATCTATGGTAAACAGCTGTAAAACAAAAAATCCACCTAAATGGACATTGGGTCTTGGTATAACAATATATAAGAATAACACATGTATTTTGTATTAAATGTAAAGTACATTTGTGGTTTGCAATACAAAAAAAATATTTTACTAAATATCACATAAATAATCCTATGTTATATAATAAAAATTGATCACTTGTGGCTAATATTATTTAAAATTAAAAACTACACATACTAGTACGTGTTTAGCCTTGATAATGGTAATATTGTTCCCGAAATCGTATCCTTGATGTTTTAGTAATTTTTAATGGCTTTTTGATCTAAATATTTTTAGTTTTAAATTAATATTTTTAATATAATTTTAACTTTAAATAATCCTATGTTACCTATTTGACAAATCTTATGTTATTATACAATAAATTAATTTGTTATTGAATTTTATATAGTTTCAGTATCTTAATTTATTTTTATGTTCTACATATTAATAGTAAACATGAAAAGAAAAAAAGTAAATAAAGCTTTCCAACAAAAAATATTTAAAGATTAGTAATTCTTTTGAGTCCCAATGTCTATTCCAATGGACAAACCCCCTTTTTGGAGTAATAAAGTCTAATGACCATTAATTTCAATATATTGTTTTTGTAAAGAAAATTATTAATTAAAAAAAAAAATTTTTTTTCCTCTGCCTGAAACGAAGTTGGTGTCTTTGGTTGTTCAATTTTAAGTCATTGAGCCAGAATACTTCATTTGGTTTTCTTCGTATAATCAAATTCTCCGAGTTTTATCGTGGATGCACTGTTTTACTGTCTGATATCATAATCAACGCTATCCACAAACTTTTCTAAATTGTTCAGAAGTACAAGAAACCTTAGACATAGTTGTCAGAACTTCTCAACGATATAGCTAGAAGTCCCTCTACGATAATCTAAAATATTAGTGAATTCCTTCTCATCCTTTCACCAGTCTCCGTCCATTTTTAGATATTAACGGTCTGATCCACGTTGGAGGAAAATTAAAACATGCCGATCTATCAGAATCTCAACGTCAATCTTTACTTTAGGTTAAAACTTCTCATTTGTAATTGCTTATAGTCCACCACTGGAATCTCGTAACATCCCATTTAAGGCCCCGAGTGATCACTGATTTCACAATCGCTAATTTTGGATTATGTCCGTGTGCATTGTCATTCGTTAAGTTTTAGGATTATGTACTACGTGTGTGCGAGATTAAGTTATTACATTCAACTGAAAATATTGCAATTTCTAACAATAATCAATCATATCTCATATAGATGAGAGCTGAGAAAAATGAATGACGGACACAAAACAAAATCACATAGTAAAATAATTTTAATATGAATAAGAAATTCCTTCTCACCATAAGAGCAATAATAATGGGATTCTTGATATTCATTTAAGCTGTTCAATCTAAATGAGATAAAAATCAAACAAATGTTTTCAACTCAAAAACAAATTAAGAAAATTATGCAAAAATAGTCATTTCCCCGGGGAAGGTTTAGAACCTCGTACCACGAGTGAGAAAGACAAGAGTTACCGACGCGGAAATCGTACATCGCATATATTGATAAGACAATTCAAACTAATTCAAAAATTCAAAGTCGTTTTTCTTAGCTTAGGGGAGGAAAAATATTCAAAATAAGTTTAACTTTATATTCAATGTTTGTTAGATCATGTAACTTTTATAAAAATTGGAGACCTCATTACTATGGCAAACACTTGTAAGGTATTAATATAAAAAAATCCCCTAATTATTAATTTTTTAAAAAGTAATAACAGTGTAAGATTGAAATTGAATTTTTTTGGAAGGGGAACCCAACCTTTTTTTCATGATGTAGGTAAATGTAAAAAACATATGATTTAATTTAATATATATAAAAGACGTAGTATTTCCGGAACATTTTCAAAAATTTATATGAATAAGTTCTATTTTTTAAATATTTAAAGATTTTACACCGCCCCTTGTAAAAAAAGAAATGGTCCGATTAAAAAAAGTATGTCGTAAAAAAGGAGTTTATATTAAGAATTTATAAAAAAAAATTATGTTTATTCTTACATTTTTAAAAAAGTTATAGCAATTTTAAATTGAAAATATAAAATCGAAAATTCTAACACAAAAATGGCACGTTTTTGAACTAAGGCAGCCATTTACACATAAAAGATAAGCTTTAATTTAATATATGTTTAAAGGGCGCAGTATTTCCGAAAAATTTTCTCATTTTATTTAGCTATTTAAAATTCCATCCTATAAATGGTCAGATTAAAAAAAAAAATATGCATAAAGGAAGGAAAGCACTTAAGGTATTTATATAATAAAAAATTATTTTAATTCGTTTATTTTTTAAAAAGTTAAGACAGCTATAAGAAAAAATTTTTTAAATATGTTAAAAACCGTAATTTTTTGGGATATTTTCATAATTTATGGAAAACGAGGGAACATTTTCAATTTTTGAGAGTAATGTCTTCAATTAGATAGGATTTATGATCTTTAGACGTATCGTTGAAAAAAATCTAGTAAGAGGTGAGAAAAAGTAGTAACAGAAACAAAAGTAAAATAGATAAATAAACAATTATAATAAAATTCAAATTAAAAAACAAACCTTCTCAGCTTTGTATTGAAGCTAAAAATCTAGTGGGCTATTGTAAATTTTGAGCGATTTAAAGATCTTTAGACCCTGTTGAATTAGCGCCTATGCTGTTATCAGGCCGTTACATATAGCTGTTTTATATTGTGAACATTTTGATAAAATAAAACATGTTATCTCAAATCTTGATACTGAATGTACTGTTACTATTTTAAAAGCTAGAAAATTAATAGAAATATTTACAAAATTGAAATTGTTAACTTGTTTTTTTAATATTTAAAAAAATTAGTTCATAAAAATCCGTCTCCTTTTTAACATGATATTATATTTCATTTGTTATTTTTCTGATAGAAATTAGAATGCCTTGTAGTTATCTATATTTCCATATGATTTTATTATAGACTGATAGGCGTGTCCTGCTTTAATCACTGTATCTTAAATTCTTATTCATAACAATAATTTCAACTTTCTTGAAAAATATTTTTCTTGTCTAGTCAATTTTAAAAAAGTTTGGGTCAATATGAGTGTATAACCTTTTTTTTATAAATTAATTAATAGTAAATTTAATTGCGTTTTAAAAATATGCATGAATTAATAGAAGATAGGGAACCCGAATACTCCGTCCGGTGACAAATGTTTGTATTTTAATAAATCATTTGGCTCTTTTTTAAATAAGGCAAGGCTAACCTCATAAATGAAACTAAACCTGTAATTTTAGTTTTATAAGGTTGTTTGAAAAGCATACCATGTTTTATGTTAAAACTAGTTATAACACTGATATTCATGTCTAGAATAGTTTTAAAATGTAATTTACTAGTTGCAAAAAATTATCCTTTTTATTACTTGTAATGAAATTATGTAGAATTCAAAGTTAACAATATGTTGACCAATGAAAATTTATCAATGTTAAAGTTTATTCTGTGTATTTATGTGGTTAAATTAAATTTTAATTATTGATAAATATTTTTAATTATTTATTTTCAGGTGATATTTAGGTAACTAAAAATATATTCACTATGGATAAAGATACAACAATTATTTATGAGACTGTCCATGGTATGGAGGCAGATTCTCCTTGGAATTTGACTGATGTACATTTAGATGATATTAAAATGGATAGTAATTTTGCCTGGATGCTCTTTTCACTCATTTTAGGCATTGTTTGGGTTATTTATATAACATACTACAACTCTCGAGTGACTGCATATATTGTTACAAGATTATTAATACGATTTTATGTAACTAAAGGATACCTTAGTATTGGTAAGAGAAACTAACCATTTATTTGTTGCTATCAAATTTCAAGAAAAATTAAATTTAACAAAATAAAAATATCAATTTTCAGGATCATTTACTGTCTGCGCTCTTTCTGGTAAAATAATGTTTAGAGATATTATTTACATCACTGAAGATTTTACTATTAGAGTTCAAGATGGTTGGTTGATATTTCGTTGGTGGCGTTCTTATGTTCCCAAAGATGTATCCGAAGGTATTTTTATTATTTATTTTAATATTATATTGAAATTTCATATTATTAGAATCTTTTCTGTTAAAAAAAATTTGTTGATTTCTTAATATATTTCCCTAATTACTAAAATTAGATGTGTTAAGATTTATTTCTATATTGTAATATTAACTGTATAATAATAATTATAATATTGTCAACTTTTCTTTTAACATTCTTAGATTTATCACACTCCGACACTAGACTATCTGTTATGTTAAATGGGTTTGAAATGCATTTATATAACCGGTGTAAATTGTACAGTAATTTAGAAAAAATGTTTAACCTTGATCCAACAATTATACCATGGGATGAATTAAGCTCTAGTAAGTTTTTAATGAAAATTTTGTGAACTATTACTTAATTTTAAATATTTAGAAGAAGAAGTAAATAAAAGTAAAGATAAACAACAAGAAGCAGTTCTTGGTAAAAGTTGGAGAGATCTTATACCTGTGATTAAAATGGAGGTTTCTTCGGTTAGTGAAATCTAATTTATTAATAATTAATAATTAACCTTTATTGTTATATTATTTCTTTAAAATGATTAGTTTTTGTTTTAAGTAATACAATTTGGAATAAGCAGTATATTGTTAATGTTTGATTAAAAAAAAAGAATGCATGCTTTTTAAAATTTGTAATTTTATGTCATAATGATTTCAATGAGATGATTGTCATTAAAGCAAATATTTTGAGGTTTCTCTAGAAAATTGAAAAAGTTTTTTTTCCAAATTAAGCCATTTTATTGTGGAGATATTTATTGGTCTTGTTATTCTGAAATTGTCAATAATTGTTTTTTTTCTTTTTGAGTAACTTAAATTTGGTGTACACAAAGAGAAGTCCAAATCCTGAAAGATTCAAAAATATGATAAAGTTGAACTTAATGATCTAAAAAAACTTTTAAAAAAATAACTATTACTGTGTCCTACCTTATATAATTAAAATGAATATTATTGTCAGCCTTATAAATATTTTATTTGATTACTAATTGTTTTAATATTTAGGGCCGAGTTGTATTTGGTAACCGATTAATACCTACTACATTACTAGTCAATGTCGAAGAAGCACATTTTGTATATTCTACAAAACCAGCTGCTTCCAAGTTAGATCATTTTATGCATTTTGTGAAATGTAAAGCTGAAAATTTTAAAGTAATCATAATTAATTAATTTCAACTAGTTATTTTAAATATAATCTAAAATCTTGTTAATATTTCTAGGTAATATTAGCTCCTAGTCCTAAGTATACAGGTATGGCTGATGATCCTCCTCGATATATGGGTGCTGGCTTTGTTGTGTTTTCTTCAAATAATATAGAACTTTATTATTATATGGATGAACCCGGTATTTACTTATTTTCAAAATTTAAGATAATTTTTATTCAACTTCTTTAAATTTTGTTTTTTGAATAGGACTTGTTCCCGAAGAACCAGAAATGTTACAACTTGCTAATGGCGATATTGTAGAATCAAAGCCACCCATATGGGGAATTGATATAAAAGTAATAATAAGAAATAGTTATAATAATAGAAATTAATTTATGTTAATGGAAAAGTTAGAAATAATATGAACTTTTTTGTTAAAAAGAAAAAAAAATTATATTTGGTATGATAAGTTGAAAAAAATTAACTCATTTAAATTGACGTATAACCACATTTTCTTCAGCTACACATCACATTATCAACCTATATGGAAATGTATTGGGATCTGAATCATTACTGTGTGATGATCTATTGTTAAACTTTGTCTCTACAATGCCTTGGGTCACATATCTTGTATCTTATCTCTCTTTTTTTTTAATGATTCCCTGTACACTTTCAATAACCAGTTGTGTCAAAATATTTTCTCGTTTTTCAAAATATTGTTAAAATTACATAGGTATCTAAGTTTAGTGAACATAATACTGAGTAATGGTATTACAACCTTTCGAAAAGTTAAAAATATTAACATTTTGTATATAATCAAATGTACACATTTTATATTTTAGTGTGGAAAGGGAACAGATTTTAGTTATGGTCCTTGGGCAGATCGACAAAGAGATCATTTATTTAAATTATTTTACCCTCAAGATTATCAACCTCTTAAGGTAATTTCAATAAGATCAAATGTTTTTGAATTAATTGTAGTTTTAACAGTTTGTAAAACCTTGATTACTATACTATTATAGGTCAGTGATTCTCCTTTACCTGGAGAAAAACGATGCGTACAAACATTTGATATTCGATTAAATACCCTTTATGAATCAACAATTGATATATTATTTTCTAAAAATAAAGTAAGTAAAACTATTTTATTGTATTTGACTTTCAATTATTATCTAATTAGTTGATTTGTTGAATAAAAGGAAACTAATGCTGTTCATATAAATGTTGGTCCTGGTTCATATATGGAAATAACATTACCTTGGTTGGTGTCGCATGATGGTTATACTACTAAAATAACTGGACAGCTTCTTCATTTAGAAGCTACTACAAGTTTACAGGTATTAAAAACTCAATTTATTAATTAAAACAACTTCTAATTCAAATATTCTATTAGTTTAATAGTAAATTTAGTTACTCTTTTGCTTACATTTTATGGTTTAAAAAAAATTATACAAATATTTCTTTAAAAAACAAATTATGTGATTGTATCATTATATAATATAAATTATTTATAGTTTCGAAGTTTACTGGAAAGTGAAACTTTAGAATTTACTGCTCATTGCCATTATCCTATTCAATGGAATGATCACCAAGAATGGTTATTTAATTTAACTGGTTGTAAAGCTACTGGTTGGTTCACTTATGCCCACAAAGGGTTTTTTCAAGGTAAAATTAAACAAATATTATTATTTCATAAAATAATTTATAATTTTAAATAGAAATGATTAATGATTGGGCAAGTAAAAGTAGACCAGATATTTTTCATTTTGTGCCTTATACATGGAAATTTACTGTTCTATTTAAAGATTTTGAGTTAATTACTATTAGTAATGAATATAATTGGATTGACTGTTCTTCTCAAAATCAAGAAAATGGTAATTATATTTTCTTATTTAATTATTAATGTTAACATGAGTTTAATATATTATATTTTACATGCTTCAGCCCTTATTGCTGTTAGTGGTGATTTATTTGATTTTTCATTCGATCTTCCATTTATTGGATTTTTACCTGAAACCTTACCTCTTCGATTTTGGATTCAAGGAGAAAGCATAGATTTATCTATGTATTTGCCTGTAGTATGTACTAGTCGAAGTATATTATTATCATTGAATAAAAATGCAAAAATTCTTGGTCGAGATGGCAAAGTTTATAGATCTAAAATGAATGATAATGGTCGTAAATGGAGAAATGTTTGTCAAAAGAGGTATAGAAATGGAAGTATAATTTAAATTTTATCAATGAAAATTTACACAAGAGAAATTTCCTTTATCTATTCCAAATAAATTATATATTTTCTTTATAATTTTTCTTTTTGAAGGAGATTTGATGCCATAATACTATTTATAATTACACCAGTGTATATAAACTATTAAAAAATTATTTAAAAAAAAAATTAAATTTATATTTATAGTCTTGGATGGGTTGATTGTTGGACTATGCCAATAGTAGCATTATCTATCAATTTTATATACCATCCTATGCCAATGTTTGGCCCTCCCCCTCAAGCAAATATCACTACACCTGAGAAGGAAGAAAAATTACTATCACCGATGAGAATGCAACATCACAAAACACAAAATATTTCAATTCATTGGACTGAAGTAAAAAATAAGACAATTACTAATAACCTTAAATTTGTAGTATATGTTTATCATTCATTGTAAATTAATATTAAATATTATTATAATAAATTTCAGGAAGATGGTCAAAAATTTGATCCTACTACTTTACCATCAGATAAGGTTAGTTTAGAGCTAGAAATAGGATCATCAGTTATATTTTTGTATGGTTCATGGTTGAGACATTTTTATCATTTAAAAGTAAATATATTATTTAATATAATTGTTTGCACACAGCAAATTATATGCTGTGCTTTAGGCTCAGTAATCGGTACCTATGCTGTGTCCAAACCATATGACTAGCTCTCTCGCTCCTTTCACCTCTTCTCCCAGCATGTAATTTAGGCTAAGGCAATAATTCTTTATATTAGTGTAGTACGGGTGTGTTTTTTGTTGTTAATTTTTAAATTCAAATATCATAATTATATATTCCTATTTTTTATTATTATTGTCAAAAATATGTGATATTTGTGAATTTAAATATATCTGTGAAAGAATCTCTGTATAATATATTTGTGTTGTTGTTTTAATAAGTTTGTTTCAGGTGACTGTTGCATCTGGCTAGTGCGCATATCTTATTGATGGTTCTGTGAGTTATTATTATATTACTGTTAAATTATTGAAAAGATAGTTAATTGAGTAAATATAAGATATCCTAGTGATATATGATAGGGATTGATTCACTTATGATTTTTTTAATTATTTATGATAGTGGCTAGTAAGTGATTTAAATTTGTTATTTTTTATTATTTTCCTATAAGTGACTAAATCTATTGTAATATTAAATGAGCAAAGGCAGATATAGGCCATTTAGCACACAATATCACTAATACTTAAAAAAAAAAAAAATGGTTAAAAAAACAGTGAATGGACACATGTAAAACTACCCTTATTTATGTGGAATCAGAACTACAAACTAATACTTAAGATATTTATTGAGTTAAAACACCAGCCTGGTAAAAAACATAAGTTTTTAGGCTGACTTATGTCTAAGATAAATAAAGTTCAGTATGCTAAATATGATGAAAGTCATACAACTGGAAATGCTGTTTAACTTATAAAGTGGCAGAATTAAAAGCTAATCTGTAAAAAATTACTACTATTCAATATTTGTAATATAATGAAACTTTGTGCATGAAGAATGGGCATTACATTTGCTTAAATAGTCTAGAAAGACAGTAGTGGAAATATTAGCAAAAAAACGCGAGAATTAAAAAATGAGCTATCACTCAGTAATACATTATTAGCATTAGCTAAAATTCCTACAGAGGTAGATAAACTGAAGAACTTTGTTAGTAACCAAGCACCACGTCAGAAGATGTAAATACTTTAACAATAAGACTTATTGTAAATTTTACTTTTTTATATAAGTTTGTTAACACTTTATTGGAAGTCCTCCTCAATCATGTTTGTTATACGTTATATTACTTTAGCACTATGTATTTACTCTTAAGTTAACCTTGTGAAAAATTTTCATTAAGACCGAAAAATCGTTTCAAATAAATACTTTGAAAGAAAAAAAATTTAATGTTTATTTAGTTTTTATTTATTTAATGTTTCAATACAATTTCTGTTGCATTTATTTATTATTTTTAGTAGTTAAGTTTATCACCTTGTTACCTGCTTGTTCACATTACCCAAATTTGTGTAGGTACCTCCTCTCACCTTTGGTATAGTGTGTGAATAACTAGACACTCCCTACATAATATACAATCTATTAATTTCTTCATCCAAGAGTATAGGTGCCGGACTATGCAGCATACTATTTTTCACTCCACATTCAATAATTATTATTCAAATTTTTTTGAAATTTATTTTAGGAAAGCATTTTTGGAGAAGACCAAATTTTTACTGATATGAATGAAAAATTAAATCCAAAAAACCCAACTTCAGATAAAATTTCTGAGACAGATAAAAATAATACTAATGATGCAGAAATAAAAAATCAGATAGATCTTCGAGAATATCGCCCATTAGATGTAGTTATATCAATAACAATGCATGATTTGCAAGCACATTTAATAAAAGTTAGTATAATTATTCATTAATTCTATTAAATACTCTATAATATAATTGTTAATTATGTAGAATTGTAATGATAATGATCCACCATGTCCTGTGATTATAATTGAACGATTTGGATTGGAAATGAAAAAAGGTTATAATGATACTCAACTGCAACTATTATTGTCTCCTAGTTTACTTATATCTAGTGACAAGCTAAGTAATAGACATATAAAAGATCATCATCTAAATCAAGGACATTTAATGCTCTCTGCTTTACAGGTTAGATATAAAAATTGTAATATGTATTAAAATTTGTTATTTCTTAATTTTTGTTTTTATTTGACTATTATAAATAGATTAGAGGTCATGCTATGTTTAGTGATACTCAAAGAAAACTTGATCAAGACACTTTAGAATATGCTTGGCTATTAGAAATACAATTAGGAAAACTGAGTGGAAAAGTTACTGCACCACAAGTATATTTACAAATATGTTGTTAATAGTAATATTTATTGGACTTCACAATATTATAAGGGTTCTTCAAAAATATTTTTATGGTTATCACAATGTCTGTTTTTTCATTTTGTGATATAGTTGATTGATATCGTAGAATTTTATTCTTTACAACTGAAATTTATACAAAAACTGTATTAGGTCTAAATATTTTTCAAAAATAAGTAAAATATTTTGTTAAAAATCTTTCTTAACATTAATGTCTTAATTATTAACTGAAACTGATCTAAAAAATTTGTGAGTCCAATATTTTCTACTGTTACTATTTATTTACATTTTGTCATCCTAAACACTTATTAACTTATATAAATTAAAATTTTGATCTATTTCTGAGCTGAATGATTTGATTTATTATTAAAAACTTTTATAATTATGATTATTCATACTAAATATTTTTGGTTTGTTTACTAGTTATTTCACATAGTAACTGGCCTTGAAACATTATTCTTATTGATGATTGATTCTGAGAATCAACTAAGACCTGCTCATATGCCACTTGAATGTCATCATGGATCACCACCAATTATGTGCCCTCATAATGATTCTCAAGTTCAATACCGATGTCCAACAGCTGATGAAATAAAATATAGAATGATTCGTGTAGCTGTTGATGCTGTAGATATTCACTTGGTAGAATCAAGCACTGCCATTAATTTTTGGGTAAGAAAGCAAAATATTAATATTAATAAACTTAGTAATAATTGAGATTTAATTGTCTTTTTAAATAAAAAACTAATTTTATTTCTTCAATTTTTCAAAAAATAATAGTTTTTTCTTCAAATTTTTATATAATTAGTTTAAATATATTGATTATTATATATTTATTGTTATATTATAATTATTTTAATGATTTTAATTTTATTTACTCTTTAGGCATCACCAATAAGATTATCACATTGTAACTTGCACAGTAATAATTTAAAGTCTGGTATTACTTTGGTTATACCAACAGTAAAACTCAAACAGTTTATTTGTATAGGCATGCAAAACATACCCGGTATAAATAGTAATACTAACACTACTGGAAGTAATCGTTCTCAACAACGGTAGTAAGTAATTCCTTTATTTACTTTCTAGGCAAAAATTATCAGAAATTATATAATCAATATTAGTACTCGTTCCCCTTTGTTAATATTTTGAATTTTCTTAAAATTTTATACTTTTAAGGTTTAAGTGTTATATTATATAAATGGTATTCTTGCAGTAATAAGCAACTTACTAATCTACAAATTCAAGAATGTTTTTTTTTCAACAAAATTTTAAAAATATATAATAATTTGAATATTATTGATAATTTTATTATATTGATGATAGATATATGTCTATTCATATGCCTAGCCATAATTTTACTTCAAATTTTCTTATGAAGTAACTAAAAAAATTATTTTTATCTAAATAAGTATAGAAATATATATGTCTTTTAGTAATACCAGTACATATTCTGATAATCAAGACATTTGGTTGGAAATTGGCTCTACTTCACTAGGTCCGTTAATACTAGAATTAGCGTCTTCACTATCTGATTCTGACAAAAACCTTCATCTTGTCCAACATAAGTATATTGTATTTTTATGTAATAAATAAATAAATTTATTTATTTAATGTCTTAATTTAGGTATTTAAAACTACACGATGAAAATTATAAAAGACTTTGGTTTTTATGGCCAAGTGATAACCAAGTTTTAGTTGTTGGTAAATGTGGTTGTGTTGGTGGTTGTGCTTTTTTTGGTTGTAATAAAAATGGTCAAAGATTTTTCAAACCTTCAATAAATGATACTCAAGATGGTGTAAACGTTGCTGCTTTTAGGTCTCAATTTTAAATTATAAATACTGTTAATATTTTTCAAAATAATTATTAATAATTTTTATTTTTATTTTTACAGAGTCAATGAATGTGGTAAAGATCCAGGATTTGGTCAAAGTATTTTACACGATTGTCAACTTATTTTTCATACTCCTCCTTATAATATCGGTAGTGGTGTTTTTATTCATGACTATCCAATACCTCAATGGCCTTCTATCCGTCTTACTAATAAGGTAAAAATGAATAGCTTTTTTTATTTTTATTTATATGAAATCATTTTTCTAATTCACTAGTTCTAATTTATGAGTTAAAGTATTTCTTTAATAATTGTCAATTTTTATTAAAATTTTTATACTATATAATATTTTAAATAAACATAAATACTAAAAATAAACTTAAATTAACATAAATTTGTTACTAACTGAAATTTAATGAATTTTATTGGTTTTAATATTTAGCTAAAACATTTTTAAGTAGCTTGACATGTTTCAATTTTTAATATAAAGTATTTATTTTATAGTCTAAATATTTTCAAGTATTAATGAAATAAGTTATGTATTTTAGGATTTCATTTTTTTAAAAGCTTCTACTTTATATTTTATGCATACTACTTAAATAATTCCAGCTGTTTGGGGCTTAAATAAAAGGTATAAGTTTTTCTGCTTTTAATGTTAAAGATATTATAAGAATATTTTTAAATTAGATAATGTATTTATTTGTTACAAAAAAAAAAAAATGTGCACAAATATAATTATAAATACGCTTAAGGTTAAATAATTATTCATTTTATTAAATAAATTTTTATTTTATTAGCATTAGATTTTAGCAAAAAAATGAATTTTTTAAATTATAGTACCAAAAAATTCATTTAGCTTTAAATTAGAACTTGATTCCCTTTGACTTTAAAGAAAAGTTTTTTTTTGACAATTTTTTTGTATTTAAAAAATATATCTATTTTTAATATAATTAATAATTGATGAGCTGATTATTTTAATAAAGGCTAAAATATATATATATAAAATTAATGAAAAACATGTATTATTAACATATATTAGCATATAACTATTGTACTAAATAACAATTTTTATTTTTGAGTTACTAATCTAATTTACCACTATGTTTAAATAAATTTATAAGTTATGCAAATTAATTTTTTTCTATATTAATTGAAGTTTGAAAACATAAAATTCTCTGTACAAGGTGATATTGATTAACTATGCCTTATAAAATATCTTAAAACATATTAAAAATTAAGTGTAAAATATATTATAATTTTTTCTTTTCAGAAGTGAATAATATTTCGTGTTCTAAAAAAATTGATCCTATACTCCTTCTCTCTTTTAAAATAGTATTAATTTGAATATTTTAAATAGGAATATGTTTTTAACGAACTTAAAAATAAAAAAATAATCTCTTTAACTAAATGATTGTTTGAAGTTATTATTTTTTTTGCTTTGATGTAATGCTAAGAAATATTGGTTTTACTATGATATGAGTGTTTTAATATTATGTATGAAAATTTTCATTTTTCACAAGACTGATTCTGTTGGTTAATACGCTAAACAGTTGAACTATGAGCACCAACAATTTGAAAAACCATTCATTTTTAGAAATTTAATAATTACTCTATCATAATTATTAATTAGAAACCCAAGTACAGGAAGGGTTTAAAGAGACCATCCACCAATGTAAATATTTTAATTTCATCTTAATTTTTGAATGTGTTCTGACATGTGTTGATAACTTTTGTTTTATATCAAACTAAATATCTTGAAATGTGCTAGAAAATGAAAAAAAAAACGATCTCTGATTGTTTTATTATAAAAAATCAGTCATCAAATAAAAAAATTTATAATTTTTACTTCATTTAAAATTTTTGAAAATTATTTTTTTTCAAAAATTCCGGAATATTTAATAATTCAATACTTATATAAAATCAAAACTTTTTAAAAGTACATAATGATAAAATGATAAAAACAGTGAATTAATCACTGTTAGATATCATGTATAATTGTCCTAACTATGCTGTTTCTTCAAGTGTTCTGAATGTTTTTCTTGCTTATAATCCTTCTAAAGTATTATTTTTTACTAAAAAATAAGATGATCAGATGAATTTAAAGGAGGATCATGACTCTTTATCCAGTAAGTTATGGAAAATTGGCCCTTAGCTTAAACTGTTATTAATAATTTTGCACTTCCTTGGAAAATTTTCTGTTGGCATCCTTACATATATGTTACTATTTAAAAAAACTAAGTTGATACTATTTTAAAGGGGAGAAAAGAGTATAAGACAACATTTTTTTTATGAAAATTATAGATCATGGTATATTACTAACTTCTGAATAGAAAAAATTATAATATTTTTTATATTTTTAAAGATATTGCGTGAGACATAGTTAATCAATCACTCTGTATATTCAATTGTTGTTTTATTTTATAACATTTAACATTAAAAATGTGTCAATTAATTAAGCATATATTAAACTAATTATCTGTTAAAAGTGTTTATATAATTAAATAATTTTTGATAGATGTATCAAGAACAATGCAATGGAACTAAAAGCAGTCCTAACACTTCTTCAAATTTACCATATACTGTAAAATCTGGGGTCATACCATCTCCTTTACCCACCTACCCTTTATCTAGACGTTTTTCTTACTCATCAGCTGCTAGCCGGTTTGTTTTTAAATTTATAATGTAATTTTTTAAAAAAAGTAGCAAACCTATCATCGACTACTCCTTTTTTAGACTTAATGAAGTACAAACTATTAACTGTGAAGTGCCTTATTCACGTCTTTTAGATGTCAGTCCAAATTCTGTACTTCCATCAGATTCACAACCATCATCACCTAACAAGTTCAATATTAATAAATCTATTTTAAGTATACCTGAAAATACATTATCTGTAGACAATGCCTCTTGTCCAAAATACAGTATATCTGATTCTAGACTAGCTGTTGACTATTTTAATTCAACAGTTTTACAGTATAATACATTAGTTTCCAGCTTAGAAAAAAAATCAGTATGTATTTATATTTGACCCAAATAGCTGGTAAAATAATAAAAACATATTTTTTTAATATAAAAGTTTTTTAATCAATTTTTTTTAGCCTACAACTAGTAATATTAATTCTGCTCAATCTTTACATTTGACTAACTTAAAACAACCATATTCACGGACAATTTCAATAACTAGTGACAATCCATCTGACGTGTTTTTCTCAGCAGAAGAAGATCTTACTACAGCAAGTTACCTAAAAAGTAATGATAATTCTAAATTGGATTCAGAAAAAAGTTCATCATTGAAAAGTTCATTAAATAGCGAATTTTTAAATAAGTTCGTATTTACAATTTATGCTTTTGTTAAATTAACAATGAATAAATAAAATAAAAAAATTATTTTTAGAAGTAATTTTGGAAGTGAATCTACAATTGTATCAAGTCATTCCTCTGTACCTAGAAAATCAATGTTTGTCGATAATTTAATTGTTCAAAATAATTCAACCATGAATCTAGAAGCAATTAATGTAAGAATATAGTAGTAAATATAATGTTTATATTTAATATTTCTATAAAAAACATCTATGTTCCATTTGTTTCTATTTGTCAAATTAAAAAAAAAATCAAACTATTTTTGGAGTTCTTGGATTAATTTTTTTTGACTGTGTAAGGCTGGCTCACTTTGATTTTAATTTAAGTAAGATGGATCAATATATTTTGGTTTATGTAAAGCTCTAGAATATTTGTAATATATTATTAATAAATTAGTTAAAGAACAAAATTATAAAATGTTGGTTATTAATAAACTCTAAGTTAATGTAAAATTAAATTATTATGATTAGTATCCCTTTTTTATGTAGCTGAATAGTTTGTAAATATATCACTTTTTATATACAGAGCTACATAATTAAATGGTGGTAATAAAAATTATTTATTTTAAAGAAAGAGACATATTAATTTAAAACTTATTTCTACTCTACAATATTTTGTGTTTAAATATATACAATAAATAATTGAATCAAAGTGAAAGATTTTAATTTTTTTTTAGTGTGATTTGGCTGATGATGAAAAAACATTATTAGCTGTTGACTTATGCAATGAAACATTTCATAGTCCATTGGTAAAGCACAAACATTTTGAAAAAGTAAGTTAAACAAATTAATAATATACAAATAATTTAAAAACTTAACTCACTTATTAAAAATGTTTTGTCTATTAGAATTTAGATGGTGGACTTATTGATTCATCTGATTCACGATCAGTTTCTAGTACATCTTTTATGTCTGCAATGTCATCTCAAGAAGATTTAGCACTTGTAAACTTGCATATGCATGTTAATAAGCCTATCATGGATTCTCCTCTATTAGTTTCTACCTATACAAATCATTTATCCCATGTAACTTGTAACAATTGGTCTCAATTATCTTTACCAGCTGGTTCAGATGTATTTACAGTTCCAATTTATCAACACACTGTTGATGATAGATTAGTATTCATTGGTAAGTTTAATTAGTATTAGTAAGATATAATTATTGAAAAATTGTATAAAACAATTTTTTAGTAATTAAATATTTTATTATAGTTTATACTACAATAAAATAGAACAATAGTTTTAAATGTTATATATTTATTCTATTAGGTAGTCGACATGTACCAAAATTTGAAGTAACGCATGAAGGTTTTACTAGTTTAAAAATGGTTCAAAGAACAGATTCTAAAGAAAAAGAACCCAGTCCACTAACAGCTCAAACACAAAGTACCAAGAAATATACTTGGGATCAACCACAATTTGATTATACTCAAAATTCTAAAGAAGTATTTGAAATTGGTAAGTTAATTTAATTTGTATTCATTTAACATAATAATTCCACTTTTAATATTTAAAAAAAATTCAAAATTTTAGATTGTGAAGAAGAAATGTTGTCTTTACGTAGCGAGACTGGTACACGCACAACTATTATTATTAAATTTAAAGGGGACATTGATTTAATGATTACTCCTTTAGTATTAGAATCTCTACAAAAGTAAGATAGCATGTTCTTTATGTTATTAGTTAATGATTTTCTAATTTTTTCTAATACTTATATTTTTTGTAATTTCGAAAATAATAGTTTTTCTTTTGATAATCTTAAGGTTTATTGACAGTCTAACTCCACTTTTGAGCCAACTTCATCCTCTTTCTGTATTGAATCATTTACATTCGAGTTGTATTAGTAGTGTCGAAGCAGCTAATATATTAAAACGTGATAAATATTTAAGTCAAATGCAAGGTGGTGGTAGTAAAAGAAGTACTGTAGAAAGGGTAAAATCAAATGTGACGAAAGATGTTCAGATAGATTTACAACAACCTAACAGAGTATATGAAGAATTTATAGCATCGCAAGTTCAAGGAACTATAGTTTTACCTAAAGTAATTTTTTTAATTTGTAGATTTTGTGTAAAACTGTATGATCATTAAAAAAAAAATGTTTTAAATATTTTTTTTTTTTTTGGTTTTCTTTAGTTACACATTTTATTGAATTATTAACTATGTAATACTTTTTAACTTCATCCCTTATGCCTTGTTAGGATGTCAACTTAGTTTTTTTGAATGGAAAAACATATTTTGATTTTTTAATTTTATAGTAAATGGTATTTGAATTTTTAATATAACTTTATTCGTGTTAAGATATAAAAATTGAAAGTTCTAAATTTTTGAATTAGTATAATACAAGAGGGATTTGAAATATAGGTAGCTAATTGGTTTTTTATGATATCAATATTCAAAGATACGCAGTATTTATTATGAATGGTAGTATGACACATTATTGTGAGTTTATGAATACACTAACTGGCAATACAGAAAATATATCTATTGATAGTCATAATTGACAATAAACACTCTGTGACTGTGATAGCGACGTCATAAAAAAACCAATTAGCTACCTGCAATTGTAATCCCTTATATATTATACATGTATATTAACCCAAAAATTGGAAACTTAATTGGATATGTAATTATCTTTACTAAATTTTTAAACATTTTCAAAAATTAAAAAACTTTTAGATTTGAACTAAATTTTTTACTTTACATCTTAATTATATAATATTTTAAAACATCATATAATAATTTCTTTCAGTTAAATTAATGAGGTAAATTAATTAAAATAAAGTATTTTTGAGGTAGAGAAACTTTTGTTTTTACTGTAAATTTTTTGTTTATATGAAATAAAATATATTAATTTTTAATATAAATATTTTTTTTTTACTAAATAATATAGATTAATATATGTGTGCTTCAAGCTTCTATTGTTGAAGAAGTCATTTCATTCTCTGCGCTTGATAATATTAGGGATTTAACCTGTGTTTCATTAATGGCAATTTGTTTCGAAGAACTTACAACCAAATTTCATTTTAGTAAGCAGGTAAGTGATTTTTTTATTTGATAAAATTTAAAAATGAAAAACTGTGGTTGAGTCGGTAATATTTTAACACCTGATGTGTACATGTCATTGGATTCAACGCTCAATCATGGGAGAATACATTTGTTTTGTATAAGATCAGCTCAAAAACTTGTTCCAGAATATATTAAGTTAAGAAACATCCTCTTTTTGGTAATCTGCAATGTCTTTTTGGATCCGTAAAAGCATTAAAAAAATTAATATATGTCATATGATTGAGTTTGTACAGTTTTACTCTCTTGCTAATGCATTTAAAGAAGTGTTATTTCAATTAAATATTAAAAATATAATAATGAATTATATTTTTAAAATATATTCAATTTAAAGGCTAGGGAAATTGTTCAAACATATCATCCACCGGTTGTTGCACCTAGTGGTCAAAAAAAAGGTGTATTGAGTAGAGCTGCTGGTAAAGCATTTTTACTTGGTTTAAATATTACCTCAGAGGTTGATCCAGAAAATACACATGGTGAACCTGTTTACATTGAAACATCTGAAAAACAGCAAGAAGAAACCGTTATTACACTGCATATTAGTAAGTGAAAATATTTTTGTGTGTCATAAAATAATATTAGGGATAAATGTTTAGTTATAATTTTTATATTGTAGCTAGAGCACATGCACAATTGCGCCGTTTACACAATGATTGTTCGATATTAAAAGATGCCATAATTACAGCTATACCTAGCCATTGCTCAAAAGTCATGTTTAAAACTTGTTCTAAAATGAAACCTTCAGATATGCAAATTAATATGAACCTTAATAGTGAAGAAACAATTTTGGCAAATCTTTCTGAAGAAAAAACTGGATTCATCATGATGGAATGTGGTTTTGAAGGAATTTCATTCAAGGTTTATATATTAAAATTTTAGTTTAAAACCAATAATAATATCTAACTAATGATTTAGCTAATAAAACGATCAAATTTTGAAAAAGAGAACGATCGAGAGATTAGAGATGTACCTACACCTTCTCCAATACCTGATTCTAGTGGTTGTAAAATTTCTCAATCTGATTTTCGCCCAAAAACAGAAGAAAATATAGACCCAAAGATTGTGAATAGTGAGTTTTTTAAGAAAAATAAAGTTTAATTAAATTTAATATTAAATAATTTTTTCACTTTTTATCATAGCACAATAAAAATTTTGACTTCCATTTGAAAAAAAAAAAAAAATATATGAAAAAAAAACTACAAATTTGTATAATTTTTTAAAAATTTATCTAGAATAAATTTATTTAGTTTTTAAAACTTGATCCTTTAAAATTAATTAAATTTAATTTAATTACTCTGTTTAAAAGATTCTAGTAAACAAGATTTAGGATGTTCATCGCCTACTTTCACTACAAAGCAAATTAAAACTACTTCTGAAAATAATATTACTAATGAAGACATAAGGTAAATTAAAATTAATAATAAATAATATTTGTTTTCAATAGTTATATGTAATTATTATTTATTAATAATTTTATTTTAATATTTTAGTGAAAACACTGTAGCAAAACTTAATGTTGATAAAAATGCGTCATCTTGTGTCATTGAAGTTTGTCAAGTATGGTTCAATTTTGCTGCTCCACCATTAACTCCAATTACACGAAAAATAGATTATACAAGGTTTAAATTATTATCTTCAGCTTTCTCTTTAACTGGGAGTTAATAGAACTAATCACAAATAGATTTTATTCCAATTTTTTTATTTTGCAAGTTACCGACCAAAGTAATATTAACCTCTCTATATGTTTAATATTGGTAAAATATTTATAATTTACTACAGACATGAATTTTTGTCAATGTATAATTCCTATAACAACTAAAAGAAGTTTATTTGATTATGCCTTATTATCTTTTAGTTAAGTGTCAATTCTTACTTTATTATTTATAGTTAAGGTATTTAAATTGTTATTAATATTTCAAATTTTGAAATATTTTCAATGTATCTTTACAATAAACATAAAATTACACCATTCTTCAATTAGCATATTTTTAAAAACAAAACTTGGATCAATTACCTACTATAGTGAATTAATTTTAATTAAGCTCATGTTGCCAATGCCTATACTTTCTTTTTTTTATTAATTAAATATATAAAAAAAAATTTTCATTAGTGAGAGTTTTATCTATACATTTTTTTTTTTTTATAATGTTCGTTTTATTTACAGACTTGACTGGAATTTACTAAGCACAGCATCACCAGCTATTAATGCTTGGATGAATCCAAGTAATCGCTTTGCAATGCGTGTTGTTCATATGTTACGTACAAGATATAGACGTTGTACTGCTGTTGTAACATGTCTAATGGCTGAAGCACTTGATGTTCAAAGTCTTCATATCCCTCCCAAGGTATAAATAAATTATGGTGAATTAATTAAATTATTTACTTATTTTAAAATAATATTTTAGAGTCGATATAGACATACTACACCTTTAGCAAAGACATTACAAGAAGATCCTTCATGTCAGATATGTAATATTTTACAAAAATATCTATTTCAAAGTGAAGCAACCATTGATGCTTATTTGAAAGATCCATTTTTACCAAATTTATCAACATTAAGACAAGTTAGTAGAACTTTTTTTTTATCATTTCTAAATTTATAATATGTTTTTTTTTTTTAGGGAGTCATTGTTCTAAGTCGCCAATGGAAAAATATTTTGTATACTCCTTTATTACTGGAACATAATTTTAAAAGTCGGCATCATAATTTAAAACCATTGAATGTCACTTTTGCTGTTTCGGATCATGAAGAGGTATAATTTTGATTTTATTTTTGTACAACCTAATAAAAAAAATTCCTGTAAAAAATATTTATTTATAATTAAAAAAAAAAAATCAGTATAATTTTTCATAACAGGTGTATTATGATAGTGTCTATTTATTCTCACCTCGCAGATCGTATGCATCAAACAATTCTAATTTATTATGTAAGCAAAGAAACAAAATGTTGAGTAATAAATATCATAACTTGTGTTCATTACTTTTAACAAAAAAAAAAAAAATATTTCTTTATCATTTGGTGTAACATTTTCATCAGGGTAATTTTATCATTGTGTAAAAATTCATATCACTAGTAGTGTTGTATAAATCACGGGCGCTTTTATATAGGATATAAAAATAAAAAGATTATTGTCGTATGATTATGGCAATTTATAAACATTTTAATAATTATGTAATCACATAGTATGTGATTATATTATAATTTGTGTTTTGGGTAACTTGTTTGTAAATATATTTTTTTTATCACATACTTAAGGATGGGGAGGCTTCAGGGGAAGAATATGGCGAAGGTATAACAGATGAGTGTGCAATGTTGCTCACCAGCGAACGACATTCACATGTATCTACATTACAACGGGTACTCAAATCACATACAGGCAAATGCGGTATGACATGTCAATGTTAATTAATCTATAATATTGTTTATTAAGCTTATGTAATTATTGTAGTAGTCTGTACTAGTTTTGTCAGTAAATTAATATATTCATGTAACAAAAATGTATATAAGATAGTAATAATTTAAATTTTAACTCATCTTTATAATTTTATTTATTAAATTAACATAGCCAAACTTTAAAAAAACAAAATTTTGAGGTAAAATACATTACAATATTATAATATATTACAAAACCTAATAATAATAACATTTAAACACAATTATTATATTAGAAATTTATATATTGTGTTTTGTTAACTTTAAAAAAATGTTTGAATAATTTTGTAACACACTATTGCTAATGCATGTAATACACAAATATTTAACAATTTTTTTAATAAATTCATTGAATAACATTTAATTATAATATAATTTTATTGAGTTTTAATTTTTTAATTTTTGCATTTTAGATAAGTTGCAATATAATCATACAAGCTTTTTATAGTATCATTTAACTGATTTTGCACACTAACAATATATAAATCTTTTGCACTATTTTATAAATATTAATATTTTGAAATAATTTATGCATTATTCATTCGAATGTTAATTTAAATTAATAAAAAAAAAAAAAATGTTTGACATGAACACTAATAGATTGTAATTATTATTTATTAANAAAAAAAAAAAAAATGTTTGACATGAACACTAATAGATTTATCATAAATTTATTCAACACATATGTAAGATATTTCGAAAATGTCTTATGTAAAATACTAACAACTTATTTATTCAACTTGTTTACTACATTTTTATGTAAAACACAATTTTTTAAAAGTGGACGTATTTTGATTATTTTATATGTAATTTTGATTATTATTTTAATATAATTGAGGTAATAACATTTTTTAGAATGTTAAAAGAATGAATAGAAATTGTATAAATATTTTCATAAAATTAATATTTTTAAAATACTGCATTTGGTTGTTATATTTTAATTTTGTTGTGATATTTGTTAGGGACTAAAGGAAGTTTTGGAAATGAACCTCAGTACTATCCATATTCTCCTACTAATGTGGTGGATCAACCAGTGGATAGTAATGTTTTAAGTTCACACACTTCTTCTTATGATCATATGAGGAACCCTAAATCTTTATTGCCTACTCAGATGCCTGCTTCTTCTCGAGCTAGTGTTATGTTCCCAATATTAGATGAAAGTTCTAATCAAACATTTAAAAATACTATTGATGGACCTGTAGGAGAAAATAGTCTACCTATTGGAGCAGAAGATGAAAATTCTGTGGGAAGTATTGAAAAAATTTCTTCTCAGAAACTGGAAAGAAATGAAGATCTTTATACATGGATGGCTAAACAAGATTTTGAAAATTATGATTCTCGTATACCCAGAAAAATAGTTAAAGCCAAAAAACTTCGAAATTGGGTAAGTACTGTTGTATAGGGTGGTAAATGATGTTCAAATAGTCCAAATACTTTTAATGTATTCAACTTTTTTTTAATTTTTTTTTTTTATCAAAAAATAATTGTTTAACTCAATTATTTTTTAAATTTAAAATAGCTATTATTTAGCCTTTTCCATACAATAAAAGAAATAGGTGGATAATAAAAACAAAAAAGTATTATTTGAGCTACTGGTATTTTAATGATTAGTGGATATTTAAATATATTATGCAATAGTATATAATGGTTTCTGAACTTGAAAATAGATTTCAAACAAAAATTTCTAAACAAAAAAGACTGTAAAGTAATTTATAAAAAAATCAGTAGCACAGTGGGGTCGAAGACATAATCGGAAAAGTAAGTGACATTTTAAACTTAGACAATACCGAAAACTGTTTTCAAAATTTAAAAAACAGACTCATTAACACATATGGTAGAACTGATGAAGGAAAATTTCGCAAATTAATTTTCGGAATTTAATTAGGCGACGAAAAACCTTCATTGATGTTGTCGAAAATCAAATCGTTAGCCGGACAAAATTGTCCTTCTCACTTATTAAAACAAATGTGGCTACAACGCTTACCAAAACAAGCCCAAATAGTACTAGCAGTAGTTCCAAAAAGAGCAACTGTCGACGAACTTACAGAAATGGCCGACCGAGTAGTTGACGTCTCTATAGGCACAGAGAACCAGATACAAAAACAACACAGATCAAATAATATATAGAAAATAAACTAGCGGACCTCCTACAACAAATTAAGCAATTAGAATTACAGCGAAGACGAACTTATACAAAAAATACACGGCGGAGCCACTCACGTTAAAAATCCCGTTTTCATAATCCAGAAAGACCATTATGTTATTTCCCTTATAAATTTCGCGGTAAGGCACAAAAATGTGTTAAACAATGTAAATGGACCACAGAACCGCCAATAAAGAAGGAAAACTAAAAACGCCCTCCTTGCCTACAATCGAGACCAGATCGATATCCCCTACTGAACAATCATGATGTAAACATCCAACTTATTAACAAAACAATTTTTTCAAGACTGGACTTGGAAAATGCATTTAATCAAATAAAAATTACATTAAATCAAATAAAGACCGCAATAATAACACTATTTGGCAGCTTTCAATTTTTAAAAATGCCATATGGACTTAGTAACAGCGCACAAACGTTCCAGAGGTTCACTAACGAAATAATCCGAGATTTACCGATTACAGTAGCGTATATAGATGACATATTAAATTTTTAAGAATCCAAAAAGCAGCATAAAGAACATCTAAATATAGTACTAAAAACACTTACTCAACATAGTATTAAAATCAACCTAGAGAAATGCAGCTTTGGACAAGAATCAATAACCTTTTTAGGACATCAAATTTCAAAAGACGGAACCATACCTGATCCAGATAAAGTTAAAAGTATAAGAGCATTGCCTATACCCAATCAAATAAAGAACCTACGACGATTCCTCGGTATAATAAATTTTTATAGACGTTTTATACCACAGCTCACACATCACCAACTACATCTGAATGAGCTGATTCCTGATAACAATAAAAACGATATGCATATCATAATTTGGACATCAGAAGCAAAAGAAGCATTTTACGCATGTATAGAATTATAGGAAAAATCAACATATTTAGCACACCCACATGAATCAGCCAAACTAACGCTTACTACAGATGCCAGTAATAGAGCAATCGGTAGAGTTGTATACCAAATAATTAATAATCAAACGCTTCCACTAGGCTTTCACAGACGTAAACTAACCACTGCTGAACAGCGATACTCGACCTATGATAGAGAACTTCTAGCTATATACGATAGTTGTAGACATTTCATTCACTTATTAGAAGGCAAAGATTTTACAATTTATACAGACCACAAACAAATAGGCAACATAAAATACATATAGCGCGAATGTTTTCTGTCGCGCCCATAAAAGATTATTCTAGAATACTCAACTATAAAACGGCGCGACATCAGTCAATCAATCAATCAGTCTCATAAGTTAGTTCGCCACAAGTAGACAGTTAGTACACATTTTGCGTGCATATATTCTAAAAGTGTTTAAATAACAAACCGTCTATCATTTTTCTCTTTTTTACGTTAATCGGTGTTTTTATTTATTGTTTAATCAATATGTAAAACACCAAAATATTCATTGAATATTTTGATTGAATGTTATTTATTATTATTCATTTTTAATTTTTTTCCATCTAAAAAAAGTTATTTCGACTGGCGGGGTTCGATTTTCCTACCCTAACCGTATATAACTGTTTTTTATACAATGTTGCCATCGTGCATTACAAGTATAAGTAGATAAAAAAGACTATTTAACTAGTTTAATAATTCAAAGCAGCTTTTTTTCTTAATTTCGAGGAGGCAAAATAATCAAAATTTTAATTTATATTTAATGTAAATTAGATTCATGCAACTTTATACAAATTGGTGGACTCATTACTACGTTAAACCCTTGTATAGTATTTTAAAATAAACAAAAAATAAAAAATTTGAACTCAAAAATAGCATGTTTTGTAACTACGGCAGCCATTTGCACGTAGAGCATAAGTCTTCGGAACAAATTTTTTTTTTAATTTATAGTACATAACATAAGCTTTAATTATATTTATATTTAAAAGACGCTGTATTTCTGGAACATTTTCAAAAGTTAAGTTGAAAGAGTTGACTTTTGTAAAAAAATTGCTCTTTTAAATTCCCTTCTGTGGGTAGGTAAAGGGTCAGAATTAAAAAAAAATATATATCAAATAAAAGGCAAATACCTTAGATTTCTATATAAAAAAATTATTTTAATTTTATAATTTTTGAAAAAATGATGCCAGTTTTAAGAAAAAAAAAAATGTAAAAATTTACCGATTTTAAAAATTTTATTTTTTTTTGGAGATCTGCCCTATTTATAGGGAAAAAGGAAATTTTTTTAATTTTTAAGGGCAATTTCTTCAAGCAGATACAATTTGTGATTTTTTGACTTATTGTTGGAAGAAATCGGTGAGAGATTAGAAAAAGTGGCAACATACACACACAAAAAAAACACATCATATTAAATTTAATAACTTATCAGCTTTGTATCAGAGCTAAAAAATGTTTTTGAAAAAAAAGTGGAGTTAATAAAGAAGCTTGGCTTCTGGATGTCTCTTTTAACATATGCAAATGGGTAATTTTTTTTTATTTTAAAATATTATTTTAAATTCTTAGTTAACGACTACTTGATAGTACTTATGAATAAATAACGTGTTCCTTTATAGTTGTAATGTTTTATCTCAATTCAAAGGATATATTAATGTTTTATTTTTATTACAGTTAAATAATATACAGATAAAATAACTTGTCTTTATATTATAGATAACTTTTTCTGATATCAATTTATGTTCGATGCATATCTGAAAAGATATTAATTCTACTATGATGTATTTTTTAGTTTTAATTTGATTTTTGAAAGTTTAGAAATTATTATAAAACATTTCATAATACATTCACATATCCACTTTAATCATTAAATTACCAGTAACTCATAAAATACTTTTTTTTTTTTTTGTTTTTATTATCCACTTATTTATACTATTTTATATGAAAAGGGAAAGGCTACATATAATGTTTATATATTTAAAAGAAATAAATACAGTTTTAACCAATATTTTTAGAAATTACGCAAGAGGCCATTGTGGGTATCCGAATCAAAAAATATTCCATTAGTTACTGAAAATCAGTCTACAGCCGATGTAGGAGATTCTGATTCCGCACGATTTAACATTTTTCTAAAGCATGACTCATTAAGACTTTTAGATGCTCATCTTATTTTTGAACCTTTGTTATCTAGCTTAGGTGTTATGCCTCAACAAATGGTCAACACAAATACAAGTAAATAATTTTTAATTTTCAAATTATATATATATTTTTTATTCTTTTATCAATTTTATAATTAAGGCAATAATAGTATGGCAGCTCTTAATTCTTGGGGATCCAATTTATCACTTGTTGGTAGTCTAGAAACTATGCGAATAGATATTGTTGTGAGTGAATATGGTAAAATCTCTGAAACTGAAAAAAAATCAAAGACATTCAAACAAAAATCCAAACAAGGTGAAATAAATTAAATATTTTTTGGATCAAATATTTATAAAATAATTTTTTACTCATTTTTAAGAAACTCCGTGGTTAGATTTATTGCCTGAAGTGCCAGCTTTTATTTGTGATCGTGTCAGTATTGAATGTGATGTTCGGCGTTCAGCAGATATGACAGTCGTTGATGATATTTGCAGACAAAAACGTAATATGTTGTATTTATCCAGAGGTCAACTAAAAAAACATTCAAACACATCACTTAATATCTGTGTTTCTATTAGATACATATCTCAACAAGTAAGTTAAACAATGCTACTCTACATAAGAGTGTTTAATTCAGACTTTTTCAATCACCACATTTTCTGTTGAATTTTTTAACCAAAATTTAGAGTTTAAACACTTAAATGAATGAGAGACTTAGTTTTTTTAACCTCTTTAGATACACCTCTGATAGTTAAGTATAAAATAAAATCTTCAGAAAAATATTATTGAATTAATAAAAACAATATTTAAATTGAATTATATTTGTATATTTTTATCATTAAATGCAATAAACTTTATTATTATTATTAATATAAAAAGAAAAACTGATTTTTTTTTTTTACTAGGTTAATATGCCCTTGTTACGACTTTTGAATCAAATTACTAATATGTATCAAAATGTGAAAGATACACAATCAGAACTTCGTGAACAACAACCACCTATGTATGTTTCACGTTCAAGTGCCAAGCGTACCACATCACATTTTGGTAATATTTATGAAAATATATATTGTTATTAGTTTTTATTTATATTTAGATTTAAAATTTTATCTTTTTCAAAGTTAAAAAAAATTCAAGTTAACAATTCTTGCCCATGATTATTGACCATTCCTCGGTACAATAGGTGT